CGAAGGACTTGCACCTTCAGAGGATTTAGGGTCTCCTAGACCGAACAAAATTCCTAATATGTCTCACTCGGAGTACATCATACCTGTCTGGTTCGTCTGGTTGCACCAGCCTTAAATGAACCGTACATACAATATCGTGCCTGCAAAGAAAACAAACTTAACAGGTACAATGTGATTAACAATATGCACATTAATGTACTTGAAAATGCGTGACAACGCAAAGCGAGCGAGAAGCATAACAATGCTGTGAAGGTACAGACATGTAAGTGGAGCACGCGGTCTACGCAGGCAATGAAATTGATCATAAGCATGCGGTCTACGCAAGCAATGAAATTGGTTACAAACATGCAGTCTATGCAAGTAACGTAATTGATTATAAACATACGGTCTACGCAAGGGAAACATGCGGTCTACGCAAGGAAAACATGCGGTCTACGCAGGTAAAACATGCGGTCTACGTAAGGAAAGTATGCGGTCTACGCAGGTAAAACATGTGGTCTACGCAAGTAATGAAATTGATTACAAACATGCGGTCTACGCAAGTAACATAATTAATTATAAACATGCGGTCTACGCAAGCAAAACATGCGGTCTACGCAAGTAATGAAATTAAAAGGAAGAAATGCGGTCCACGCAAGCAAAACATGTGGTCTACGCAAGTTAGCAAGATTGAATGCATGCAAAATGCAATAAGATGCGCAGAATAGCGCGATGCGTTTAGACAACGTGAGTGCACAAGACAGTGCGATTGATTTGAAATGCACAAGACAGTGCAATTGACGATGACCACCAACTCCTTCCACTTCTCCGCTGCGGGGGACATGATGATGACCCCTTATGATTTCTCGATGATCACCGGTATCGGGGTAGGGGGTGATCCGATCCCCTTCGACACCGATATGGGTGAGTGGGACGCTGCCCAGCTGTACCTGCTCGGCACTCAGCCTCCCCTCGCTCGAGCAGGGTTCGTTAGGTATTCTTCGTTTGAGAGCCATTTCCGGATTTAGCCGGCCTTGGCGGAGGAGGCGCAGATGACCCCAGAGGAGGTGGATCAGTATGCGAGGGGCTTCATCATGTTCCTCTTCGGGACGACTCTTTTCGCCGACCGGGCGAACACCATGCCTCTATGTCTGTTGAGCGCACTGGTGGATGTCAGGCGGATCCGCCGCTATGACTGGGGTGGCGCAGGCTTGGCCACATTGTATGGTTATATGAGCTCTTCTTTCTGCCTCAGCGGACAGCTCCTCGGCGGCTATTGGCGAGCTTGGGAGGTACATCTTCTTTCCCTTTTACATTTCTGCTTCACGTTTTCTGTATTCTGTACACTGCACACACCACGGTCTGCCTCTCACTGACTATATACTGCACACGCGGCACACATATACTCTGTACAATACACTGCACATCACACGGCTCTGCCGTTTTTGCTTTATTCTGTATTTTGCTTTATCTGATAGTCATACTTATATCTGCCCTGCAGTTGTGGGTGTATGCCTACTTTCCCAGGCTTGCCTCAGTACTTGATGTGGAGACCCCACTTGGCGTCCCCTTTTCTCATTGCTTTGATGTACGATGCGTGCGGAGGCCACGAGAGTCTTTTATTTTCTTCTGCCGCTACTTCGACACCATCACCGCCGCGGAGGTATGTTCAACTTTAGAATTTTGCTTAGGCTTCGCTTAGTACTGTATGTTTGATAACAGACAGATAACAAACGGCATTTCACTTTCAGATCACCTGGCGGCCTTGGGCTCCGTTGCTAGCCGTGGTGAGGGGATCACTTTGAGGGCGCAAAGGAGACTGTCTATTGCCGGATTCTGTTGGAGGGCCCGGTCTGTCGGGCTTGGTACCTGCGCGAGCGTTTCTTGCGTCAGACCCTGGGTTTACCGGAGCAGATAGTCCCGGGTCCACCTCCTACACATATGAGGCATACAGAGGGGTTCTCCCTTGAGCAGATGAGGGACTACACCATCGGCTGGGGTGCAGAGCATCATAGAGGCGAGGACGACTACACAGAGTACGTCCGGACCTACATTATGCGACCCTTGAGCGGTGGTCGTCGGGTTGAGGGAGAGAGGCCAGCGGCGCCGGTAGCTGGAGCGGAAGCGGGGGCTGGAGCAGGAGCGTTGAGGAGAGTTGAAGTTCGCGGCAGGGGTGGAGTTCAGAGAGGGGGGGGACCAGCTGGCTTGCTCTGCCCACTTTACTGACATACAGAGGGCAGGATGGGCGACCTACCAGATCCCCTTTGCTCCTCCCCCGGCTGGTCATGAGTTAGCCGGTATCCTCGACTTGCCTCCGGTATGTATTACTTCATTTTGCATCTTGCATTGGTATTTCATTTTAGTTTATTTGATATTTCGCGGAATACTGATACATCTTGTACTCTTGCAGGCGTCCTCCGAGTACACCCGGCAGTCCGTAGAGTTGAATGCCTCCATGATGGGGATGCTACAGCGGACCTTCGACCTCCTGGCCCTCTATAGTATTCCGGTATGTCCTTCTGACGACGGTCTCAAACCATTCACAAGCTGATTCACGTAATCTGATGCACGACACAACACCTGACACACTGGTCTCACAGCATCTGATACACTGCATACATTGTATTTATACACTGCTCTCTGCACTGATAAACTGCTCAAGGCATTCACACACTGTACACTGCATTTTGCACTAATACACTGCTCACGGCATTCACACACTCTACTCTGCATTCTGCACTGATACACTGCTCACGGCATTCACACACTGTACTCATACACTGCATTCTGTCCTGATACACTGCTCACAGTATTCTGATGTATTTGCTGTTTGCGCTTTTCAGCCTCCCTTCCAGATTCCTCAGGTGGGTGGTGCTCTGGCTGGGCCCTCTATTCCTGCTCGAGGAGGGCGTGGAGACGCTGTACGTCCCCGTACCAGGGGGGGCGTGTTCATGTCGAGAGTAGCTCTCGGGCGCCGACCCCTGATGAGGACGATGATGATGATGATGACGAGTCCGAGGCAGAGGCAGAGGCCGGGTCATCTGAGGAGGTTGGAGACGACTCAGACTCCGGCTCAGATGACGATGCCCCTGGACCTTCGTCCAGGAAGAGGGTGAGGATAGATTCCCGGGCCCGAGACTACTGATGATGATCCGGATTGCTGCTTTTCTTCTTTTTGTACTTTTTCTTCTTTTTTTTTTTCTTTCTTCTCTTTGCTGGTAGTTAGATTACCTTGTACTGCCGCAGGCAGATTTTTGTTTTCAAAGCTATGTACTTGAAAAGGATAATGAAATGAACAAACTTTTTTGCTTAAAAAGTGTTACATTTACATATCTTATGTATTGCATCGCATCACATCATGTTACACCCCAATGTGAATGGAATTGACCTGTTGTTTGAAAAATCGAGCATTTGTACTGTAATGATCAGATAACCAGACGGCCTCATAACAAAACAACCCAAGCAACATACTGCTCGAACTGAACGCACAGCCCATACTCTGTTGGGGATTAGTCTGCATACAGCCCCTAACACTACACTCGGTTCATTCTGCACACAACAAATCCTGAACAAAAAGCCCAAATCTAACAAGACGGACCATGAAGGTTGAATCCACTGAAATTGAAACACACTCAGATGCGATCTGAAAACCGAGAGGCTTCGAAGAGGCCCGTGTTTTCCTGTTCACACTTATCGGGGGTGAACCCTACAGTTGGTATGAAGGAGCCAGATCATGTTTTTGCACAAATATGGAGAATGACACAGCATTCTGAGCACAAAACGATCAATTTTTGAATTTGAAGAAGGGTTTTCAACCGGGTATTGAGCCTACAGCTGAGCGCAACATATTGTGACTCAACAAAAGGTACACGACCTAAACACATCGAGTAACACTCGAAAAAGACTCGAAACAAAGGTTGAGGTAAACAAAACAAAAGACACGACATACAGACGCGTTAACGGAGACGGGAGACCTCAGATCACGAGGAGCCAGTTTCTCTGGGTATTGTTTCCCACCCTTTTCTCATTTGTGATTCTCACATCACTCTGGCACTCAAGCTTGGTTTTTCTCTCAAAACCCTTTGGCTCGCTTTTTCTCTCAACTTACACCTCTCTATTCTTTATTCTCTCATTTTTCGTCCCTCCCCAAGGTGATTGATGAATGAATAGGAAGTTGCGGGTTCATGCCCAACGCCGTTAGCTCACAGCTATTTCTTCTGGTGGGTAGAGTGCCCTCTTGGCAAGTATGTTGACGACGGGGGAAAGACAGAGCGCCTGACTCAACTGTGCCCCTAGTTCATCATTTTGACCATTTTTGTTTTGGTTTTTCTACTAAAACAGTTTTGACCAATGTGAGAGTTAGATTAACGCACTTGTTCAATTTTTGATTTGAAAATCATGCAAGTCAGACTATAAGCACTGGAAATTTTCCTTTTTGGGTCCAAGAAAAATGGTCCAGTTTTGGAAAATGAAATAATTTTTGAGAAAATGGTCAACCTCAGTAAAAATTCTCAAAAACTATATTTGCAAACGACCGCCGCCCAACGAGCGCGGAACTCATTCTCGAGATGCACAACCTCGGATCGGAGGCAATGGAAAATTGCCCCTTGTTTGAAGGACGCTGCACGGCAACGAAAAGTTGCCCTTGGTTTGAACGGCGACTCATGGCAATGAAAAGTTGCCCCTTGTCTGGATGACGTCGCAGCATATTGTAAACAGTCCTTACCAGTGATGATCACGACCGAACTTCCTCGGATACGAAGAAGACGAAGATGGTCAAAACCAATATATGGACACAGTCACTTTGAAGGTGTTGAGGGCTGGACTTCAGGACGAAGTTGCCTATGTATCCAGTTGTCACAACCGAACTATCGGATTCAGAGAAGGCAAGGATGATCAAAACCATTACATGGACTGAGGCGCTATGAAAGCGTTGGGGGGTGGACTTCAGGATGAAGTTGCTTACGTATTCTAAACGTGGGAATCAAGCCTTACGTAGTTCCGGTTAAGGTACACTCGGGTATTTTAACCTTCACTTTTCAGGCTCTAACTTTTGCCAAGGTGCCCGATGCGGGTTTTCGACCTTGCGAGCTTCTTTTCATTTTCTTTTTTTTTCTTGATTTTTTTTTGATTTTTTTTTGTATCTTTTCGTTCTCTTTTTTTCTCTTCTTTGATTTTATTTCTTCTCTTTTTTTTTTTTGCATTTTTTGTATTTTTCTCTTGCTCTAACTTTTTGCCTGGGTCGCCCTTCCGGGTTTTCGACCCAGCGAGCCTCTCAAAAGGGTAAAAGTGTAACAAGCCATGCCAAATGCTTTTTGAAGTTGAAGCCTCTCTGTATCTAGGAGAACGGACGTTGCAATGATTTGCAGAAGAATCCATCATGGCTGCTCCACGAGCTTCTTCTGGTGAGATCTAATCTTTTTGATTTGACTTTGGTGCCTCTTGTTCGAGGGCTGCTTCTAAACTGGCCACACGGGCCTCCTCTGACAGTTGTCCGTTGAACGTTCCGAATGAGTTCGAGGTTCAAAACAAACAGGTCGAATCTTGAGGCTGAGAGCGATCCTAGGCTGCACAATCTTAAGAGCGATTCCACACAGGTCTTCACAGGGCCGCGCAAAACGTTTGTTTTTGAAAGTTTTTAAGAAAGTGACAAATCGCTCGCACCGAAGATAGTGTGGAACCAATCTGGATCAAGCCAGGGTCCTTCTCAGTACTCACGCTAACAAGCATGGTTTCATTCATTAAAGGCTTAGCATGCATCTTTTTTTCTCAAATTGATCAAAGTTTTGCAAAAAATCGAGGAAGTCATTCCTCTTTGTTTTCAACCCTGTGTTAAAGAGGTTTTGAAAAACATAGGTCAATGCAATGATTTTCAGGGCACAAGAGAACAGGTGGAATGCACGGTCATCTGATTCAAATTCTCTGGCACAACTAGCCCAAAACAAACAATAAGCACGGAAACATGATAGCCGCAGCTACTTCATTCAGGTTTCTCGGATGTAACTGGCTCCACGGCAGAGATAGACTCAAAAAGAAAGAAAAAAGGTTAAATACAAAAACGGTGTTCGAGGCAACAACCCCGGAATCACTCGACATCCTATACAATGGGACCGACTCGGTACCACAAGATAGACCCAAAAACAAAAAGACTGACTCAAAGCAAAGAGGCAGACTCAAAAACAAAACAGAGAACTGATCCAAAACACAAGCCAGAAGCTACAAAACTGCATTTACAAATGCTCAAAAAGTGTGTGCCAGACGCCACATCTGAAATACACCGAGCGCCGCCCGCAGGTGGTCCAACCCCTGATCACATACTCGCAGTATCCTCAAAGTCCAACAGCTCGGTGGTAACAGACTTCGCTAAGGTAGGTGGAAGAATGACCTCATTATCGATCAGATCCTGCACTTCATGGTGAAGGCGGAAACAGTTGTCGGTGGCGTGACCGGTCTGTTGGTGGTACGCGCAGTACAAAGCAGCATCATGTGTGAGAGGGAGATTCTTCGGGAGAGGCCGAGGTTCAAGGGGTTTGAGGTACCCCCTTTCGGCAAGAATTTGAAGTGCCTTAGACAGAGGCATGTAGAGAGCATGAAAGACCCTGCGCCCTCGGGGCAGGTACTTTGAAGTCTGAGTATTTTTACTAGATGCACTAGCAAAAGGGTCGGCGGGCACTGCCTTGGTTTTCTGATCCTTCCCAGATGCAGGGGCGGGAATAGGAGGAACTGTTCTGGCATGAGGAGGCCTATCCCGATTTTCTGACTGACTTGAACTACCCTCAGGTGGAGTGGGGAAAACATCCTCCACAGTGTTTGCCACAACTGCGGATATCTGTTGCTTGTTCATCCCCCTGGCTTTTAAAGCCTCGACTTCCCGCAACAGTTGTTCAAGGGGATCGGCATCTGCTTTTATTTTGTTCTTGCCTCTGGCCTCAGCATGATCGGGGGTTTGGGTTATTACATCAGAGCAAAGCCCGGTTGTTGCTGACACGTCGTTGCTGTAGCTGGAGGCAACCTCTGGTTGATTGAGCTCTATCACAATCTGCCCCAGTAGTGGGGGCTCCTGTGGTATGAAATTCCCGGCATACGGTGCTGCTGGTGGCGAAGCCGACATTCCGTAGGCGAGATCCGCCACAGACCTCTGGAGGTCACCAATCATTCCCATTAGCTCGAATGTAGTGGGCTCGCGAGCCTGATACAACTGGGGGGTCCAGATCGGGTGTGCGACAGGCGACCTGTGTGGATGCGATACATCAACATTGGTTTCATCCTGCAGGGTAATCC